CATAAAAATTTCAGATGCTAAAGGAAAGCAAAACAGTTTCACTCTCACAGCAGCGCTTGAGAGGCCATTCAGTAGCAGACTGCAGGCTAAATACATCTCTGTCCCCTGGTAGGTTTGTGTGTTTGTGTGTTGGCTGGCAGACTGGTTAAGACATTGGCTGTCACTGGGATTTCTACTCACGCTATTCTGCCTGGCATTATTACACCACCCATCACTCAGGCCAAGTGTGTACATTATTCATGCCCCCGTAGGAGTTCATCAGAGGCTGTGACCGCAGGTGCTTTGACAGCGCTCTCAATCACAGGCGCCCACGCCGTCTGCTCATCTGACCCCAGCGTGGCACGGCAAGCTATAGCCCAGTTAAGTTCAGCTGTGGAATCAGGCCCAGAGCTGGGTGTAATTGACCAGCATCCATTCACAAGTAAATCCAAACATAAAGCAATCTGGGAACTACCTTCAATGGAGGGTCTCTGAGAAAGCCTGCGGGTCCGCGACGCCCGCCACACAAATAACGACCCGCGCCACACATTGCAGCTCACGCTTGTCAACTTCAGCACACTCCTGGGTAACGGATAGCCACGGGTTTTTATTAACTTGTTTGTTCAATTTCACAGAGCCTCATAACTCCTGCCACCATCACACATGCGAACACAGAACTTTTCAGAGCAGCGTATGTGAGCCGAGATGTGCGTTTCCACTCTGCCGCTCAGATGTGTCCTGTCATCCTTCACAGCGACAAATAAATTCTAGTAGGCCCATCTTTCTGCTGACAAAGTAAAGAGTGGCCTGCAAGGCTAGTTACCTAATATTACTGCAATTGATATAGATACATGTGATGTTTCACAGCTGTCCTGCTGCCCGAATCCACCGCTCAGTCAGTGAGTGAGTCAAGGTGAGGGTTATTCATGACTCTGAGCCTCTCTGATAATGTGGGTGAGGTCTGCCACCATCAGAGTCATTTCTCGCAGTGTGATACCACTCAAATCCTTGACTTATTACCTCACAGGGCGGCAGACCCAGAGCTGCTTATAGAACTCTAGGCCCTCTGTGATTAATACTTTAAGCCAATCACACCTGCATTTTAAAGTACAAAAAGCAATTTCAGGAAGGTAACACCACATTGTCTTTAGCTTTTCAAACAGATAAGCTCTATAGGGAGAGCTAGCTTTGCAATTTCTCAACCTGAAAATGATCAGTTTTACTTCATAGCAGCCTGGATATTACATGTTACACTGCAACTTAAATAATTAAGTCAGCAACTGATCTATATGTATGCACATATTAACAAATAATGAATGGTAAAAGAATACAGTCAGTTTGAAGGATATGTCTTGTAGAAGCCGTGTGATGTGATACCAAACATTGAGTTGTACCGCTTCCTGGACAAGATAAACTGTAAGTTGCTGATAATATTTTCCCACCCCTGCCCTCGCCTGTCAGTGGGAAATAGAGCATCTCTTTCTTGTATCATCTGGTGAAAAGGGTTCTCATACTTTAGCACATAAATTAATCTGAACAAAGCATATGTTGCAGCACAGAATATGGTTGTAATTTATGTTTGGGGAAGTGGAAAATAATTAATAATATATTATTACAACTTAAAATGTGCAAGCTTGATGACTGAAAATAGAGGAAGCTAACACAGTCATAACACAAAAATGTAATAAAAACGTCAACAGAACTTGTTTCCTGTTTGTTTATGTGCTGAAAGTGGGATTTTATGAGCTGCAAAGCAGAGAGAGAGAGGAAAAACTAATTTCCTCCTCATGTAATTGATAAAGATTAGTGAACAAGTCAATATTTTGCCAATTCATCATCATAATTAAAGCTCTCAGTATTAGTAAATGTTCAAACTGTTTATTACAGTCATCAGTGTCCATGGCTCTGCATGACCTTAGCGTGTTCTCCTCACCTTTCAGTAATAATTATGATAACATTAAAGTCGCAAGCTGCCTTTAGTGTCTCCCTTGCCTTCTGCTGAAGTTATGTTGGCGCAGACTTCAGACCTCATGGAAATAAATAAACGGATAAAGAAAATGAGCAAAATGCAAACAGTAAATGCCTCAAGAATTCAAACCATTAATATGCCCATTAGCCTGCAGCTAGAATCAACAGAGCTGTCATCATCACCTCATGCAGATAACCTTCTCCAGCAAAGGCAACAGAGTAATGAATGTGCTGACTTCTGCAGAGCGCTCGTAGCGTCTGCCTGCAACACTATAAGCAGGGATTAACTTCTCCCTAATGAAGGGCAACTCAGTGCTGTTATTAGGACCAATGGGTACCAATGAAAAGACCCTCTGTCCGTCACCCTCACAATTACTGCACTCCAGGATTAGCACTAAAGGTGCGAAAATGCCTGCAGAATGCAAAGTGCAGGCTGATACTTAGCAGAGTGCATACCAACGCCCATTACCTGACATCTATGTATGTGCCTTTTATAGGTGCACACATAAAAGCACAAACTCACGCATACACAAAAGATCAATGACTTCTCCCCCTGAGCCCCTTGTTGCACAGCTCCACTAATGGCTCATAACACATCAGAGTGGCACATACACACACCGCCAAGCTACTTCTCAGTCACCTCCTGTCTATTTCACGCAGCACAGGCGATAATGGTCTTGCATGCATGAAAGGCAGGGCACACTGTGTGACGCTTCCCCGTCCACTACATTGTGACGGTATCAATGATTTTGGTTTTGCCACATCAGCTAACGTTCACTTGAGCCAGTAGTCGATGAAGACGTCTCTTAAGTAAGAGTACAAATACAACAACATAAAAATACTACTCGATTAAAAGTCCTGCATTCACAACTTTGCTAAAGTACAGAAGTATTATCAGCAAAAGTTCTTCTTCCGTGATACATTATTGTATATAAGACATTATTAGATTTATACTGATGTAGCAATGAGTAAGTACCATTTTATTGTTAGAAGCCGGTTGAGATGTTACTAGTTTTAACTACTTTATATAATTACGTAGATTAGAGTTTTTCCAACCTAGGGCCGGGCCCCTCTAAAGGGTCACAAGATAAACCTGAGGGGTCTTGAGATGATTAATGTGGTTGGAAAGAAGAAGGAAACTATATTCTGCAACACAAACCGATTGCATTTTTTGGACAGTCCTCCAAATTAAACTACAAGATGCATTGTGTGTAACTGAGTATTTTCTGATCTGACAAATAACTCAGTATTATAATGTGACAACGCTATGGCTAAGGTTTTGGTTAGGTTAAGGCACCAAAATGACTTGGTTAGGTCTAAGGAAAGATCATGGTTTCGGTTAGAATTACTACTCCGGTTACAATAAAAACCACGTGGCGAGGGAATGACTGCGGTTAAAGGAAATCAACACTGTTGGCCGGCTTGAAACAGAAAACAAACAGCAGCCTCCTGAGTTAAAATCTGATATTTTGTTGAACCATCTATCTGCCACAACCTCAACCAAGACTGTCTGGCTTTATAATAACGTCACCTGACTAACTATGAAAACTGCTAGAGGGCTCTGTCATTTCATTGTAAACATAAGTCATTTTGGGGCACTTGTTGAGTGCTTTAAAACTTCACTCAAGTAAATGTACTACTGGTGAGGTAGTTTACTTGAAAGCAGCCCTTTTAGAAGACGGATCAACCTGCTTTAAAACACTGATGTTGCTTCTTTCAGTGTTCTGTTCCCACACAATAATGGTCCTTATGCATAAATGATAGTCACATTTCCTCACAGTGGCCCCTTGGTGACATCGCTGTGACATCCAGTGTGCTTATGTATAAAAGATGTCCACATCTATTTAAGTGTTACTCACAAGCCCACATTATGGCTCAATGTTCTGCACTTTTTCAGAAATCTCTCTCCTTCACTGTACAGCACACATTACACATGTTTGTTTACTGCATATTCAAACTGACATTCATTTAACACTTGCATGTGTGCATTATTGCTCTTGTGTAAAATACTAGTTTATAACAGTTTTTTTTTCAAATCAAATCATAGTTGTCACTTCAAGGAAGGCTGAAGTGATAATGTAATTTAGGAGTTAATTGACAGAGCAGCATGTTTTATCCTGGGACATATAAGTCATACATGAGCCACATTCATTTTTAATTTCTTCTACATTCATAGAAATATAAAACAGTTTTTTTGTAGGCAGTGCACTCACATAATGACACAAGAACTGTATTCCCCTACATTCTCTGTCTGCTGAGTTGAAAGTGTGTACTGGGAGCTAATTGGCTTCAATATGGCCTACAACAAGCCTTTAATCTAACTCATGCTCTCCTAATCACGCTGCCCTGTAATACCAATATCAGAAATCAAATTAATGCTGAGAACAGGTCTTGCTGTGGGCAGGAAGGTTAACGTTAAGGGGTTAGGGAATATCTTTAGACTGAGATGAAATGTAATTTGGAGGACGGAGGAGAGGGGAAATGTTCTGAGGGAGCTGGAGCAAGCATCTGTCTGCAACGAAGGAAATGTCAGGTCCTATTAATCTTCTCTGAATGTCTGCCTTCAGACGTGCATTTAATTTTACACGCCTGCTAACGTGCGTGAGTGCACACCAGACTGTGTACACATGCATATACATATTATACATGTACATGCAACATGGACGATGGTGGCCTTGAGGTGCAAAACACAACAGCAATTTTTTTTTTAGGAAACACAAAAAATATACTATTAATTCCTGCATTTTTCGATTTGTGAAATGTTTTCTGTTTTGTTAATGTGTTTCATAAAATATCGCCTTTTTTTTTTTTTTTAATAGGATGCTACATTTCTAAAATGTTGCGTTTTCAATTTGTTGCATTTTTAAAATTGTGTTTCCCGTTTTGTTATTGTGTTTTGGTTTAATGTTGTTGTGTGTTGCACATCATGGCCACTGTAGGAAACGCATACAAAGCATCATCCTCACACACCACTCAACCCCTGTGTACACGCATAAATTCTTATTTCCTCAAATGGGAACATTGAGATGCAGCGAACATAAACGCATCCTTACCTTCCACATATTCCCACACCGGCGCAAAGGCGAACAACCACATACACAAACATCAGAAGAGCAAATGGTAAGGCAGATTCTGTCGAGAAGCTGATCTCTGATCCGTCACCCAGCCCCATTCCCCGAGTATTACCCATCATTCTTAGAGGCGACGGGCAGAGGGAGTGAGGGAGAGATACATGCTAAGTGAAATGGGAAATAAAGTAGTGAAGAGGAGTAGTGGGAGATGTGACAGCAAAAAGGGAGACTAGTGAGAAGAGGGAGAGGACGATAGGGGAGTGCCACATTTGCTCATCCTCAGGCCTCTGGAGTACAACACACATGCATTGCAGCCTCTAGCCCATCATTGGACAACAAGGGAGGAAGGAGAACGAGAAAATGAAAGAGGAAGGCAGCAGATTCAAATGAAAAGATGAGATAAGACGATCAAACTGTGACAAGGGAGTAGAGGAGCAGAATTACAGAGCGAAGGAAGAACAGAAAGGGAGAAAGAAAACGTGATGTGGAACATAATGCTCCCAGAAGCCACTGTGGTGGGTCTTTGACACACTCGGGGACATTCAGGGTGGGCAAGCAGGCTAAGCTGCCTTGAACACAGATTAGCAGAGAGCCACACGAACAGTGAGTGATGTTAACACTGAGCTCTGCAGTGCAGAGTTACTTCTGTGGTCGCATGAGGGTTTTAAAAAACCTAAAAGCACTACTGTGATGTTGACATATTTAGCCAGTTTCAGATGTACCAAGTAATCATGTGCTTTAGCTTTATTAACACACGGATTACGATGCAAAGCAGAAAATGATGACGCAAAGGTTATAATATGTGGGAATCAGCATGGACGGAGGACTGATGGGCTGGGAGCTTTGGAGGGGATAAACCTTAGGGAAACATGTTGATGATTGTGCTTCATGCTATTTTGTTGATTAGCATAGGAGTACAGTGGCGAGGGCGCTGCCACATTAGCTCATTGTCGAACACACTTGGCTGGGGATGTTCTGTGACACAGGGGGTGCAGCAACATGAGGCGAGGCTAATTCAGCAGTTGAGCAGATGACCATGTACATGCCTATGACAGTTGCTACACTGGTTTGTATCATAAAAAGTATGGAATACACTTGCATGCCGTCAATCACCAGCTATAATGCAGCAGCCCACAAATTAGGGAAGAGGAAAAAGCAGAGAGGGAAATCTCTCTCACTGACAAAGTATAGTAAACCCTTCTCAAATGTCTTGGAGCGAGATAACATTTTAACAGGCTGCAACTCCAAAATCAGATCCCTTATGTGCAGCAGATGAGGCGAAACAATGTTCCCTCATGCCACACCAGTTGGATGACTGAGTGAGCACTGTGCAGCGCTAATTTCCCTGCCAGCCCAGGGCATGGAGCTGGATCTACGTCCTCAGAATCGCTGCAACCTCATTGGGTGTCTCATCTTTTTTCTGTCCGGCAGCTACCTTGTATGGCCTTCACGAGGCTCCCTCCTTGTTCCCTCGCCTCCCTCTGTGGTGCTCGTAGGACAGGGCTGAAGCTCAGTAATTTGGAGTTAGAGATAAGGGCAGGCAGAGGATATTACTTGTGGGTAGACAGTGATTGAATCGGATCCAGAGGGTCAAACACACCTAGGCTAAATGAGAACTCGGCGGAAACCCAGGACCCATTTATTTAACTCGGAACAAAGGCAGAGTGTAGGGGGACGTGATGATGAAATGCAGCGTAGCAGAGCTGGAGGGGAGAGAAGGGAGGAAAACAAAAGGACGCCGTTGCTTGCATCTCTTTCCGTGATCATGTAAGCCTGATTTGTGTGTAGGAAGGAGACCTACAGGGATATGATGTCGGTCGGGTCATTTAAGGGCTTTCTGGAAGCAGGAAGCCTGCAGAGGCATAACAGTAGAGGGACAGGAAAGAAAAGAAAAAACTGAAAAGGAAACAAGAGTGAGAAGAGAGGTATTAAATGAGTTACAAGGTGCATTTCCATACACCTGTACATAACAAACCTGAATAGATATCTTTAAAACCGGGTGCTACTTCCACACAATCTTTATCCAAACAAACATTTAAAGCTGCAAAAATTTACTTTTTCGGCCAGCACAACGAGATGAAAACACAACATTGACATATTTGTAAAGTTGAAATGGCGATCGTGGTCACAAACAGTTGCCTATCAGACAACAATAGGTAGACAGAACAACATTAGCATTCATTTGGAGTCATTTGTTAGGTCACCCAATGATTGTAAAGCAATGTTGACTCTCCTTTTGGATCTATTTTGTTATCCACCAGCTCGTGGGAAATATCTGCCTCTTTAGATACTAAATGCTCCACTATGTTCCCCAGCTAGCCGCCAACTTTGTCTGTTTGCTGACCAGGTACTGTATATTGGGTTTATCAGAGCATTTTTGTTGAAAACAGGGTTTATGAGAGCAGTAAGAGTGAACCATACGAGTAAGTCATGGGCGATAAATAAAACAATGAGCAGAAAGACAGTACAGCACAAAACAGAGCTCATCATTAGAACTCCTCTCACATTACACGTAGTCACAGTGCAGCTTGAGGAAGTTCTGTCCTTACATACTGCATGCCTCTCAGCTCATCAGTATGTGTAACCAACTTGTTCAACAGCAATGCTATGCTTTGCAGGCAAGACAACATTTCATACGCAACGCTGATTTATCCTACGCTTTTCTTTGCCTCACCAAGGACGTACTTTGAAATGCAGTTGCTGAGTTTGAGACAGTTCAGTAGACAGCACCTGGAGCCCGAATCAAACTAGTCAATGGGCTTAAAAAAAACGCTCTGATCAGACCTCATGAGATTAATCCTGAGCCCTCTGGCATCTCTGTTTGTGTGTGTGTGTGTGTGTGTGTGTGTGTGTGTGTGTGTGTGTGTGTGTGTGTGTGTGTTTTGAGAGTGTTGCACGCTTGGGTGGACAAAAAGTCTCTTTTACATGAAGAATGCACACATGAGCGACCCCAGAAATAACCAACAAGCATGAAAAACTATCGCAAAAAACAAGACCACATAATCTCAGAAGTCTGTTCAAAATTCAAAGGCAGGAGTAGTCTGTCTGCATGCTTGATAGCTACCCAGCGGTGAAGACGTGATTGACGTGGCTGCAGGATCGGAGCCTCCCTGGAATCGAGCCAACGCTTGTGTGGCTGCCCTGCGCTGGCGGAGGAGGGGTGGGGGAGGCCTGGATGTGGAGTAACAGCAGCAGCAACCTCCTCACACAGGGTGGAACCTGCAACACAAAGAACAGGGTCAGAAAATCCTCCCCAGTGGACTGAAGGAAATTTGATAAGAGGCTGAAAAAGCAACACCATTTAACATCTGTCTTTTAGAGTTCAATCCTGTATTGTTGCTGGGACAAATGCCAACATCCCTTCTCGGCTCTCCTTTTTCCTACAAGCCCATTCAGACCTGGGAGCAAAACAGTAACAGCAGGGGTTTTAAAACGCGTTGACACCGAGCATACAGTAAAGGTTTCGCCTAACCTTTGAGAGAGATAGACAGAGTTGGGTGGCTGGGCTCTAACTCAGCAAACCTTTGTGACGCTGGCCCGGTTGTTGGGCTGTTTATTATCAGCAGACAGCACACCCGGGCCTAGGACTGCTGAGACACCGAGTGCTGGCCGCCGGGAAGAAACAGGGACTGAGGCGACGCAGGAGGAATGCCAATGAGAGAGATTTCATTTGCTACTCTGGCACAACGCTGCCCTGCAAAGCCACTCAATCAAGGCCTCGGGTTTGATGGCAATGTTAACAGCATTTTCTCTGATTCCACGCCTCACATCCTGACCATTAACCAACACTAATAACCACATTAATCTGCTTTGATTCGACCCGACCAGGCAGTTTGCGGTGAAGACGGGGTTGGAAACGAGGGCTCTTAAAAAATAAAGAGGAGGATATTTAGAGAAAGGTTGACAGTGAACAGGTTGCCTTAGAGGTGTGTTACATTTCCAATAAATCTAGAGGGAACAGTGCAGAGGTTGGCAGGAGAAAAGGAGAGCACTCCCTAACCGTTCAAAACAGATATAAAAGTTTAATGTCCAGCTTGCAGCAAGCAGCCAGCAGAAAGGGAAGGAGCTGAACTATTTTCAGAGTAGTAAGTGGCATTCATAATTCACATTATAGTTCAATATAAAGAAATTGAAGATTCCTTCGTACATATTGTCTTCCTCTTCCTGTCTGTAACACTCGACAGCATTGATGGCTGAGCTGTAGCCACTGTGTGTTTGTATGTTTGTATGTTGCTTTACATTTGTGTGACTAACAGAATATTTCATTGGTTTAACTCAATATGCTACATTTTCCATATGAAATCCTGCAAAGGGCCAAAAATGAAACGGCATGACGCGATATCACCGGCAAGAAACGAAGTGAGAGACCGTTTCCATTTTCAAATCAGACTCGAGCACAACGGCCATTTCAATCTGAATAAATGAAATCTTCCTGTTCGCTGAGAAAATGAGCTGTGATAATCTGAGGATATTAATATGATCAAAAGTTGCCATAGATATTCATTCAGTTACAGCCGGATCACCCAGAGGGAGCAAACAGCAGGGAGCAAAAGAGAGAGGCGCTGAGCAGAGAATGTTGAATACAGACATTATCTATGTGAGCACAAATGAAGCAAGACAATGTGAGAAACTACATCAAGCTGTTATTATTCAACTGATTATTGTAACTGATTAATGTCAATTAACTGTGGAGACAACATTGAAGAAAGATTCAATTCAAAATGTGAAAATATCAATAAACGGCTACATTTTCCTACTTAGCCTGTAGAAAGTGTGCACAGAAGGTGCACACAGATGTCTGCCAATGCACTGAACAAAATAACAAAACCAATGTCATTTTACATAAACATGTAACTTGGATTGAAACACAAATGAGAGCGATAAGCCATAACCACAGTAATGGCAATAACAGCTCCCCCAAAGAATAAATGTCCACTTTACTGCATTACACAATAAAAACACAAGAAATCACGAAGCTCACTGCTGCTGCTGGAGACAGAAAACAATACTAATGCTGCATGAGGAAGATGTTCATGCGAGTGGAAGAAAGTTCAAGGCAAGTATCAAATCTGTTTACGTAAGACATCAAAGTATATCAGTTGTTCCTCTAAACTTACAGGTTATGCTGGTGACAAAATAAAGAGTCCCAAGACAATGTGCTCTTATGAAGTTCATCTGCAATAAGAGATTCAGAATTTCTGTTTTAAACACCCGTTTATGATATTATTAATCTTCTTTATTCACATCCCTTTGTACAAAGCAAAGATTGATATACTCACAGAATGTGAATGAAGGTTTTTGATTTTGTGTCATGACTGGTTTACTGTTTATCGGTAAACCAGAGAAACATGGTGGCAGGTATGAAAAGTGAGAAACTGAAACTGGCTTAACTGAAAAGCGAACTGCAAAGAGACTCCTCAACAGTGGGTGGGCATTTAAATGCATCATACTGTGATTTTCTAAGGAGATGTGCTGAAATTGCTTTGTGTTTTCTAGTGGGAATGCACTACATAATTAAAAAACCTGGCAAAGGCCTCAGAAAGTTCAGAAGAGCCTGGAGAGGACCCTCAAGGCTGATTCAGTCCGGAGCCCTTGAAGTCTTATCATGAATCGGCACGGTGGACAGTGGAATATCGTTAGTTAGCCGTCGGTAATCAGCCCTAAATTGCACCGCCCATCTGGAATTCTCCCGATCCTCCTGATTAAGAGTCCACCACTGGGCTTTTTATCAATGATTAACATGTTGTTGGGAAATATAAAAAGTCTCTTGACATTGTGACTTATTATCTGGATATTGCAAATATTAGACTATCTTTTATTATTTTTCAAAAAAAACCTTATTTGCTTCAGCAAAGTGAAAAGCCAAATGTCACGTCCTTGACATATATACATACACACATACTGACAGGCGGCTAAACAAACGGAAAGCCAAAGAGAGCGACGGTTAGATCTTAAGTGCAGCTCTGTAACTCTTTCACACTGACACTGACATGATGTATTACTGAATACTAACATCCCCTTTCTGTTTCCTCCTCACTGACCCCGAGCGTTTAGCCGCTTCAAACAACATTTCAAACGGGGATTCAATCTGTCCTGGCTCTCACGGAGGACACCAGGTTGTCAAAGCATCTCTCTCCATAGTGGATAAGGGGGCACTCGTTGCCCAGAGCAATTCAACAGCATCCTCCTGCCAGCTTTCCCTTACCAGTTTAGTCGTATAAGAGTTAAGTCATATAGCTGCAGAGACTGCTTGTCAATTTAAATAGGACAGCACACCAAGGTGCTCTTCAACCACACAACACAATTCATCATCTACGGTGTTAACCCCCAACTGTCACATTCATGCTGCCAAGATAATGAAGCATTTCGTCATTGGGGATGAGTGTGCACAGTGTGTGTGTTCAGAGAAGTCTGTTTCAGAGGCATGAAATAGAGAGCGGCACTTTATAGGTTTGGATTGCCATAATTTAATCAAATTTATTGTAACAGATTGGATATAAAAATGTGGTTGTTGGTCACAAGAAACATCTATTGTCAATCCTATTGACAAAGAGAAAGGGAAATCCCAGACACACATTATTTAAGACGTATCTACACAGAGTTTGAAAGGATGTATTGCCTGAGAAAAGAGCAGAATTTAAAGTAGGAGGATTGTCAGTATAATTTTTCCAGTGAAAGAGGAAGAAGCAAGGAAAAATAGAAGCACAAGTAGCGAGACTAACACAAAGACAATGTACATTAGAGATTTAATAATCCCTGAAATTAAATTGGTTGCACCTCATAAAATAACTCGCAGAGATTAATTGTTACTAAATATTTTCACCCAAACTGCAAAGTGTACAGCAACTATTGTCGAACAGATGGACAAAGCATCTCCACTTTCCCCCACTGTACAAAAAAAGAAGCCCAAATATCACTTGGAGCCAGAGTGATGCGCAGTATTGATCGGGGGGCTGGCGTCGCGGTATCGAGCCAATCGCAACCAAACACGCCCACAGATCGTGAGCAACCTAGCCGCTACGTTAGCAGCACCACGCTAGCTGTTTGGCTACAGACAACTAACCCTATTCAATTGAGATGCTTTTATGATCAAATTGACACAAGTTCTATTACAGCGACTACTTCACGCAGAGCAGCTGTCAATTATGACGTCTCAACCCCTTTTTTATAGCATCAAAACTATTTAAAATCAAACTTTTGACACACTTGAACAGTGCAGATCACTATTCTGCACTGTATATAATGATACTCAATTGCTTATTTTTATTACTAACAATCATTTTGCATAGTTAATTTTGCATAATTGCTAATTTTTGCATCTATAAAATGTGATGCATTACAGCGTTGTTAAGAGACAGTAGTTTACACGCCATCAACTCAAATGAAATGGCAGAAAGTAAACTACACAAATAGGGAGTGATTGTGGATACAGCCACTATTTCACTTTGCATAGTATACAATAGAAAACAGCTTCCACCCAAAACAGAAGATGAAAGTTTGATCAACAACAACAAAGAAAAGCAAGAATATTGGAGAAATGAACACAAATTCATGATAAGGCAGGGGGAGAGAAATAGGGGAAAGTGAAAATAGGGAGTAAGGAATCGAAGATAAAGAACATGACAGATGAATAGGTTGGATATTTTATATACCGAGTGAGAAGTGCTGAACACGTCCAACAAGAGAACCCAGGAACATGGCAGCAGTCTTAGTCCAACACTTCCCGGTGGCTTCTGCACTGCTGAGCAGGCTTAAAAAGAGCCAGTAGTACAGCTTCGTCTTATAGCTGGTGGCCTGCAAACATTATTGTATTTTATAAAGCACTTTTTCAGTTCAATTCAATACTATTCAATAACTACATTCATCCCGAGTGGGGTAATTAGGCACAGGCACAAAAATCTCAATTTAACAAACGCACGCACACACGCACACAGACACAAATAAACACAATGAAGTACAATGATTAGATAAAGAGCATATAAGTACAACATAATTGCCAAACATACTTTTGTGTACTTTTGATTGGCGCTGATTTTCATGTTTTGGGTTAGAGGCCCCTTAGTTTAAATGTCTTACTGTTAAATCTTACAGATACTCTATACAATGATATTTAAGACAAGTCTTTTTCCAACTTTTGGGGAAGATCATTAATCCCAGGATCGATGGTTCAGAACGTCAATGCCCTCATGCACAAAGCCAAATAAACTGCATACTCAGTTTGCTGTGAAAGAACTTGACTGGCCTACAGACAGCCCTGACCTGAACTCCATCCAAGATCATTGGGATTCATTGTAACACCGACTCTGAGCCAGACATCAAGAGCTCAACCCCTCCGATTCTCTTGTGGCTGAATGGGAGAGAATCCCTGCAGCCAGATTCAAAATCGTTTGGTATTACTTATCAGAGCAGTGGCGGTAGCAGCAGCATATTAATGCTGTTTTTTTTTTAACATTTAATTCAGACATCCACATTCCCCTCAGGATGAAGTGTAATCACTTTGATGATCCCTTAACTCCTCTACCATCATCGGCAGGGCAAAATTTGGTTCATGATCAAATACCTGAACTAAAGATTTTCCTATTAGCCCCATCTTCACTTTGTGTTTAGTACTAATCAGAAAATGTTAGCATGCTAAACTAAGATGATGGCCATGATAAACACATGTGTGTTAGCATTGATCCCCAAATGCAGCAGGATGGGCTGTCGACTCCAGTGTGAAAATCATCTTTCTAGCTTCAATCAATATTTGCAGTTGGCAAGTTGTCAATCTAACCATGCAGCAGAGACAGCAACACCTGACAACACACAGCAGAATCCACCTACACAATAATGTCTGCAAAATATTTTACACCAAAAACATATGTAAACTTTAAAATGAAAAATCCTAAACTGCCATAATTCAAATGAACATGATGTAGCACTTCATCAACAGCAGAACAAATCTACAGAACTTTCTTAGCCAGCTCATCCGTTTCCTTCACCTTTCTTGTCGACATGTCGAGTGTTGGAATAGAGTAAAATAAATATCTCCCCACAACAGCTGGCGCCCAGCAGAGATGACGAGCCACGCGGACTGACCCTCTCTGAGCAGGTCCTCTCCATTTCGGTGTCCTTGCTGCCACCCTGCTCTCACATTGCTGTCACTCCATTATTCATTTCCAAGCATGACCGACATTCGACCAAAGGTAAGACAAGACAGTCTCAGA